CAACATCATCACATCAACATCAACACCAGCAACATCAACACCAGCAACATCAACACCATCAACATCAACTACCAGCAACAATCAACATCAACATCAACACAAACATCAACACCAGCAACATCAACACCATCAACATCAACACCAGCAACATCAACAACATGAACATCAACACCAGCAACATCAACACCAGCAACATCAACACCATCAACATCAACACAGCAACATCATCAACATCAACATCAACACCAGCAACATCAACACCAGCAACATCAACAAATGACATCAACACCAGCAACATCAACACCGCAACACAACACCATCAACATCAACACCAGCAACATCAACAACATGAACATCAACACCAGCAACATCAACACCAGCAACATCAACACATCAAACATCAATACCAGCAACATCAACAACATCAACATCAAACCAGCAACATCAACACCATCAACATCAACACCAGCAACATCAACACATCAACATCAAACCAGCAATCAACACCAGCAACATCAACAACATGAACATCAACACCAGCAACATCAACACAGCAACATCAACACATCAACATCAACACCAGCAACATCAACACCAGCAACATCAACAACATCAACATCAACACCAGCAACATCAACCAGCAACATCAACAACATCAACATCAACAACAACAACATCAACACCAGCAACATCAACACCAGCAACATCATCAACATGAACATCAACACCAGCAACATCAACACAGCAACATCAACACCAGCAACATCAACACCACAACTCAACAAACATGAACATCAACACCAGCAACATCAACAACATCAACATCAACACCAGCAACATCAACACCAGCAACATCAACAACATCAACATCAACACCAGCAACATCAACACCAGCAACATCAACAAACATCAACATCAACACCAGCAACATCAACACCATCAACATCAACACCAGCAACATCACAACATGACATCAAACCACAACATCAACACCAGCAACATCAACACCAGCAACATCAACAACATCAACATCAACAACATCAACATCAACACCAGCAACATCAACACCAGCAACATCAACAACATCAACACAACACCAGCAACATCAACACCATCACATCAACACCAGCAACATCAACAACATCAACATCAACACCAGCAACATCAACACCAGCAACATCAACACCAGCAACATCAACAACATCAACATCAACACCAGCAACATCAACACCAGCAACATCAACACCAGCAACATCAACAACATCAACATCAACACCATCACATCAACAACTCACATCAACACCAGCAACATCAACACCAGCAACATCAACACCATCAACATCAACAACATCAACATCAACAACAGCAACATCAACACCAGCAACATCAACACCAGCAACATCAACAACATCAACCTCAACACCAGCACATCAACACCAGCAACATCAACACCAGCAACATCAACAACATCAACATCAACAACATCAACATCAACACCAGCAACATCAACACCATCAACATCAACACATCAACATCAAAACATCAACATCAACACCATCAACATCAACACCAGCAACATCAACAACATCAACATCAACACCAGCAACATCAACACCAGCAACATCACACCAGCAACATCAACAACATCAACATCAAACCAGCAACATCAACACCAGCAACATCACAACATCAACATCAACACCAGCAACATCAACACCAGCAACATCAACACCATCACATCAACAACAGAACATCAACACCAGCAACATCAACACCAGCAACATCAACACAGCAACATCAACACCATCAACATCAACACCAGCAACATCAACACCGCAACTCAACACCAGCAACATCAACAACATCAACACAGCAACATCAACACCTGCAACATCAACAACATGAACATCAACCACAACATCAACACCAGCAACATCAAAACATGAACATCAACACCAGCAACATCAACACCAGCAACATCAACAACATGAACATCAACACCAGCAACATCAACACCAGCAACATCAACATGAACATCAACACCAGCAACATCAACACCAGCAACATCAACACCAGCAACATCAACAACATCAACATCAACACCAGCAACATCAACACCAGCAACATCAACACCATCAACATCAACACCAGCAACATCAACACCAGCAACATCAACAACATCAACATCAACACCAGCAACATCAACAACATGAACATCAACACCAGCAACATCAACACCAGCAACATCAACAACATCAACATCAACACCAGCAACATCAACAACATGAACATCAACACCAGCAACATCAACACCAGCAACATCAACAACATGAACATCAACACCAGCAACATCAACACCAGCAACATCAACACCATCAACATCAACACCAGCAACATCAACACCAGCAACATCAACACCATCAACATCAACACCAGCAACATCAACAACATGAACATCAACACCAGCAACATCAACACCAGCAACATCAACAACATCAACATCAACACCAGCAACATCAACAACATGAACATCAACACCAGCAACATCAACACCACAACATCAACATCAACATCAACACCAGCAACATCAACAACATGAACATCAACACCAGCAACATCAACACCAGCAACATCAACACCAGCAACATCAACACCAGCAACATCAACACCATCAACATCAACACCAGCAACATCAACACCATCAACATCAACACCAGCAACATCAACAACATCAACATCAACACCAGCAACATCAACAACATCAACATCAACACCATCAACATCAACACCAGCAACATCAACAACATCAACATCAACACCATCAACATCAACACCATCAACATCAACACCAGCAACATCAACAACATCAACATCAACACCAGCAACATCAACAACATGAACATCAACACCAGCAACATCCTCATCAACAAGATTTGATCAATGGTTTTGAAACCCAACAGTTGAGACACTTATGCAACATATGGGAATCTTCACCGTAGAAAAGTTTCGCCACACAGTGACTTGATCAGTCCGTTACCGAAGTGTAAGGAGAGGAGGAGTTTGAGTCCCTCAACCTGCAAGTGTCTCAATCTTCAACTTGTAGGTTTTCGAAACCAGTTATCATATCTGTCAGACACTGCAACATTATGGTATCATGATACAAAGAATTCTTCGACACTTGTCCAACCTTCGGACGACGACCTACTTCGACTAGTGGAAGGTTCCACTGTGACCCCGCCTCCTTCTGCTTCACCTCACCTGACTACAGTATATAAGCCACGTCTATGGCCCTATGCTGTAATTTCTACAAGACTGATGGACTGAACACATCGACTCCAGGCTGTGGGACTGATTACCTCAAACTCCTCCTCTCCTTACACTTTTCTGATTTGTAAATGGACTAATGAAGCCACTGTGTGGCGAAACGTTTCTTCTGTCAAGATTCTCATATGTTGCATCTTTCAATCTTCAACGTCAAGATTAAAAACATCAACACCAACAACATCAACCTCTCACTAATATCCACACCAACAACATCAACACCAACAACATCAACCTCTCACTAACATCCACACCAACAACATCAACCTCTCACTAACATCCACACTAACAACATCAACCTCTCACTAACATCCACACTAACAACATCAACCTCTCACTAACATCCACACTAACAACATCAACCTCTCACTAACATCCACACTAACAACATCAACCTCTCACTAACATCCATACTAACAACATCAACCTCTCACTAACATCCACACCAACAACATCAACCTCTCACTAACATCCACACTAACAACATCTACCTCTCACTAACATCCACACTAACAACATCAACCTCTCACTAACATCCACACCAACAACATCAACCTCTCACTAACATCCACACCAACAACATCAACCTCTCACTAACATCCACACTAACAACATCAACCTCTCACTAACATCCACACCAACAACATCAACCTCTCACTAACATCCACACTAACAACATCAACCTCTCACTAACATCCACACCAACAACATCAACCTCTCACTAACATCCACACTAACAACATCAACCTCTCACTAACATCCACACTAACAACATCTACCTCTCACTAACATCCACACCAACAACATCAACCTCTCACTAACATCCACACTAACAACATCAACCTCTCTCTAACATCCACACCAACAACATCAACCTCTCACTAACATCCACACCAACAACATCAACCTCTCACTAACATCCACACTAACAACATCTACCTCTCACTAACATCCACACCAACATCAACCTCTCACTAACATCCACACCAACAACATCAACCTCTCACTAACATCCACACTAACAACATCAACCTCTCACTAACATCCACACCAACATCAACCTCTCACTAACATCCACACCAACATCAACCTCTCGCTAACATCCACACCAACAACATCAGCCTCTCACTAACATCCACACCAACAACATCAACCTCTCACTAACATCCACACCAACATCAACCTCTCACTAACATCCACACCAACATCAACCTCTCACTAACATCCACACCAACATCAACCTCTCACTAACATCCACACCAACATCAACCTCTCACTAACATCCACACCAACAACATCAGCCTCTCACTAACATCCACACCAACAACATCAACCTCTCACTAACATCCACACCAACATCAACCTCTCACTAACATCCACACCAACAACATCAGCCTCTCACTAACATCCACACCAACAACATCAACAATGTCAGCACTAAAACTGATAACTCCTACAATGATATATAAACATCAATATTAACATTATTAGCACCAACATTTCAAAACTAACAACATTACCAACATAACCAGTAATAACTGCAAAATTAATATTAACAATATTATCGTCAATGTCAACAACAGAATGTCAAACTAACATCAAACACTTAATAATAACAAATAATATATAGACACAGGATATTGTTATCGTCAACAGTAACATCAATGTTAGCAACTCACGGAGGCTGAACCCGTTGTAAAATGTCGTCAGAAGTTGGTGTTGCATCGTGACTGTAGTGGTGGTGCAGTTGCAGACATATACAGCGGTGGTTGTGACAGGTGAGGATAGCGAGCAGGTCCAGCAATACAGGCAGGTCAGCAGGATCACCAGTGATATCAATTATTACCTTGGATGGTCTAAGATGTGATAGCAGAGATTTGTAGCTTTCTACTCGATGATCAACAACCTTAATATTATCATTATTGATAAAGGGAGCTATTGCCTTAGCGATGTTATCGTTGCATCTGGTGTTTTCTAGGAAGTCTAGCCATTTGTCTATGTCTCTCATACCTGACTGGTGCACGAGATGAACAATTTCATGCGCGATTGCCTCAGGAACTTGATTTAGCAATACATGCAGTAGACCAGCCACATGTACTAAAACATTATGGAACTTAGTCATGTCTACCCCGGCTGTTCCGACGCTCTGTTCTAACACTCCTCTGATGGTGACAGGTGGTGCTGTGGTTGATGTAGTTTTGCCCATGTAGACTGTGCTGTAGGTAATGCTGGTGTAGGGAAGGGTGATGTTAAGGTGGCTGATGGTTGGCAAGACACGGGAGATGGTTGAGGTAGCATACACAGGACTGGAAGTGTAGAAGTCTTCAGCTGATGTTGGAGTGTCATCACAATATGTAAAGCACTGAAGAAGTCTTGGATTCCCTTGTGAGGTGCAGAATATCGCTTCTCGATGCCTCGAAACGTCCAAATTGACTTCAAACTCAAAAACGCAGAAAGTATCTCTTCGTAAGGTAAATCATGTTTGTTACAAGCAGATATCAGTCGTTCTACAGCTTCTTCATCAAGAGTCAACTGTTCACGTGAGAGGCACTCAAGTGATGTTATATAAAGAAGCCTCAATATTTCTTGAATTCTGAACTTAAGGTTTCTTTCAGGCATAGCTTTAGTTTGTGGACAATTTGATAACCTGTCTAGTAACATTCCTTGACACAAATGATGTATTTCATGGTAGAGATCAGTTTGTGTGATGGTCATAATGTCCAGCTCATCAGGCGCCTGGTCCCAGATGTAAACAAAAAATGTTAAATTCATTGGCAGTCGTAAGTGTTCCTGAACGCCTTCAACTTTCATTAGTTTTTTAACTAGATCTTCTGTGCTTCTCTTACTGTTCGTGAGATTAGTTATCGCCTGGTGAGTCCGACGAACAAATTCTGGCATTTTTTCTTTAGAAATGCCTCGTAGCTCAGCATTCGTCACATCGTATGCTTCAGGGATCGTGCTAATAAACATATCAACTTTCTCAGGTCTCGAGGTGCATATAAAAGTTGCAAAAGGCGAGTTCCGGAATTCGTATAGAAGACTATTGACTAAATTTCCTGAGCTTTCGTTGAGTTCATCCAGACCATCAACAACAATTAAAACCTTACAAAGTTTCATTAATCTAGGCAGGAAATTTCTGAATTTTGTTGATACATCTGGTATCAAGTGATCCAGGAGATCCTGGTAAGTTTTCATGGTAGGGTCTCTGCACTGTACCCACAGCAGGAGTTCGTAACTATCCAAGCCTTTAATGTTACTTCGATTTCCTTGTGTCCATTCCTCTGTTACCAGCTTTACTAGAGTAGTCTTGCCGCTTCCTGCCAAACCTTCAAGGAGGAGAACCTGAGGTCGTGCAGGGGTACAATGTTGTTGTGAAACAGAGCTCGAAGATGGAGCTGTGGTTTGGTGAAACTGGAGAAGATTACGATAATCTACGTGTTTACCATCATCTCTACGTTTCCCTTGGTTGATTTCGATATCAACAAAAATTTGGTCTACTTTAAGTCGCAAATCTTTCATTATGAAAGACACGGGATTGATATAAGTGATATTTTGTAAACTCTTCCTCAGCTGATCACAACTGTCGTTAATCATAAGATATTTCATATCATCACTATAACAGGCGAGTATTTCTTCCCTGCCAAGAATCTCTTGCATAATGTGATCCAAGTCACCATTCATCTCCTTGATTTTCTCCTCCACTTCATCCTCGTCTCTCTTATACCTCACTCCAGACGTCTTAAGACACTCGCTTAACACCTTCCTTAAATCGTCCATATTTTTTAAATAATCTCTATCAGAAAATGCAAATGTACTGTGAAGAGTATTGTTCCTCATGTTCTTTATTTCTGTGATGTAGTACTCCATTTCTGTACTAGGAGTGATCCATTTTTTATCATTGAAAGAGGCTACATCCTCACAGGCTAGCTTGATGCATCGGTACAGCAGAGTCAGGTCAAACTCTGATCCATCTGGATTCTTATTTATCAATTCCTTTTGAATGTTGTCGAACTTTTTATGATTATTTGTGAGTTTTGAGTAGTTTGCTGTTGATTTTTCATCTAAGGTACCCAAGTAATCATCCAATTTTACATTTGCAGGTTTATGTGGAGTTCCCCAACACAGTGTGTTGTACAAGACTCCTCTACCACACTGATTTAAAGCCTTAATAAATCTGAATCCGTTATGTTCCTCTTTAGTTATTGAAGCCATGATACTGAAGATGATACTGCTGACAGAGGTCCTGACGCTTCTGCAGGTAATACTGCTGACAGAGGTCCTGACGCTTCTGCAGGTAATACTACTGACAGAGGTCCTGACGCTTCCGCAGGTAATACTACTGACAGAGGTCCTGACGCTTCTGCTGACAGAGGTATTACGTAGGCTTCCCCTGATAACTCGTCACATCATCAGACCTGAAAATATGATGACATAATTGATGTATGTATAATATTAAAAGTAACGGAATAAAATTTAAAATACAAGTATTAGATTAAAATATGTATAATATTACAAGTGAGAGAGTGAAACATGCATACTAACAATTGACGGGGTAATATATGTATACTTTTACAGGTAATAAAGTCAGTGGTGGACACAGCTAACCAAAAAGTTGACTAACCGTTAATGTAATACCTGTTTACAAGGCAGGTGACAGGTCCTTAGCTTCGAACTATAAACCAATAAGCCTAACCTCAATAGTGGGAAAATTTATGGAATCAATAATTGCCGAGGCAGTTCGTAGCCATCTTGAAAAGCATAAATTAATCAAAGAATCTCAGCATGGTTTTACAAAAAAAGGCGTTCCTGCCTTGAGAATTTATTAACTTTTTTTCACTAAGGTATTTGAGGAGGTAGATCATAGTAATGAATATGATATTGTGTATATGGACTTAAGTAAGGATTTTGACAGGGTCCCACATCAGAGACTATTGAGGAAACTTAAGGCACACGGAATAGGAGAATTTTTTTCCTGGATAGAGGGATAGTTGACAAATAGGCAGCAGATAGCTTGAGTAAATGGGGAGAAATCAGAATGGGGAAGCGTCACGAGCGGTGTTCCACAGGGGTCACTGCCGGGCCCCTTGTTGTTCACAATCTACTTAAACGACATAGATAAGGCAAAAAATAGTGACATAAGCAAGCATGCTGATGACACCAAAATAGGCCGTCAAATTCATTCTGACGAGGACATTAGAGCACTTCAGGATGATTTGAATAAACTGATGCAGTGGTCAGAGAAGTGGCAGATGCAATTTAATATTGACAAATGCAAAATTCTAAATATTGGACAGGAAAATAACCATGCCACATATAAACTAAATAATGTAGATCTTAATATTACTGATTGCGAAAAGGATTTAGGAGTTCTGGTTAGCAGTAATCTGAAACCAAGACAACAGTGCATTAGTGTTCACAATAGAACGAACAAATCTTTGGCTTCATATCTAAGAAGTATAAATAATAGAAGTTCTCAGGTTGTTCTTCAACTCTATATATCCTTGGTTAGGCCTCATTTAGACTATGCTGCTCAGTTCTGGTCACCGTATTACAGAACGAATATAAATGCTCTGGAAAACGTACAAAGGAGGAGGAGGTGGCCCGGTGGCCTGGTGGCTAAAGTTCCCACTTCACACACGGAGGGCCCGGGTTCGATTCCCGGCGGGTGGAAACATTTCAACACGTTTCCTTACACCTGTTGTCCTGTTCACCTAACAGCAAATAGGTACCTGGGTGTTAGTCGACTGGTGTGGGTGGCATCCTGGGGGACAAGATTAAGGACCACAATGGAAATAAGTTAGACAGTCCTCGATGACGCACTGACTTTCTTGGGTTATCCTGGGTGGCTAACCCTCCGGGTTTAAAAATCCGAACGAAATCTTATCTTATCTTAACAAAGATGATCCCATGTATCAGAAATCTTCCCTATGAGTATAGACTGAGGCCCTGAATCTGCACTCTCTCGAAAGGCGTAGAATTAGGGGGGATATGATCGAGGTGTATAAATGGAAAACAGGAATAAATAAAGGGGATGTAAATATTTTTTTTTTATTATCACACTGGCCGATTCCCACCAAGGCAGGGTGGTCCACCAAGGCAGGTGGTCCCCCAAGGCAGGTGGTCCACCAAGGCAGGGTGGTCCAAAAAGGGCAGGGTGGTCAACCAAGGCAGGGTGGCCACCAAGGCGGGGTGGTCCACCAAGCAGGGTGGTCCCCCAAGGCAGGGTGGTCCACCAAGGCAGGGTGGTCCACCAAGGCAGGGGGTCCACCAAGGCAGGGTGGTCCACCAAAGGCGGGGTGGTCCACCAAGGCAGGGTGGTCCACCAAGGCAGGGTGGTCCACCAAGGCAGGGTGGTCCCCCAAAGGGCAGGGTGGTCCACCAAGGCAGGGTGGCCCACCAAAGCAGGGTGGTCCACCAAGGCAGGGTGGTCCACCAAAGGCAGGGTGGTCCACCAAGGCAGGGGGGTCCACCAAGGCAGGTGGTCCACCAAGGCAGGGTGGTCCACCAAGGCGGGGTGGTCCACCAAGGCAGGGTGGTCCACCAAGGCAGGGTGGTCCACCAAGGCGGGGTGGTCCACCAAGGCAGGGTGGTCCACCAAGGCAGGGTGGGCCCACCAAGGCAGGGTGGTCCACCAAGGCAGGGTGGTCCACCAAGGCAGGGTGGTCCCCAAGGCAGGGTGGTCCACCAAGGCAGGGTGGCCCACCAAGGCAGGGTGGCCCACCAAGGCAGGGTGGTCCACCAAGGCGGGTGGTCCACCAAGGCAGGGTGGCCCACCAAGGCAGGGTGGCCCACCAATGCAGGTGGCCCACCAAGGCAGGGTGGTCCACCAAGGCAGGGTGGTCCACCAAGGCAGGGTGGCCACCAAGGCAGGGTGGTCCACCAAGGCAGGGTGGCCCACCAAGGCAGGGTGGCCCACCAATGCAGGTGGTCCACCAAAGGCAGGGTGGCCCACCAAGGCAGGGTGGTCCCCAAGGCGGGGTGACCCACCAAGCAGGGTGACCCACCACGGCGGGGTGGCCACCAAGGCAGGGTGACCCACCAAGGCCCGGGTGACCACAAGGGCAGGTTGGTCCACCAAGCAGGTGGTCCACCAAGGCAGGGTGGCCCCCCAAAGGCAGAGTGGCCCACCAAGGCAGGGGGGCCCACCAAGGCAGGGGGGCCCCACCAAGCAGGGTGGCCCCACCAAGGCAGGATGACCACCAGGCAGGGTGGTCCACCAAGGCAGGGTGGTCCACCAAGGCAGGTGGGCCCACCAAGGCAGGGTGGCCCACCAAGGCGGGTGGCCCCCCAAAGGGCGGGGTGGGCCCACCAAGGCAGGGTGACCCACCAAGGCAGGGTGACCCACCAAGGCAGGGTGGCCCACCAAGGCAGGGTGGTCCACCAAGGCAGGGTGTCCCACCAAGGCAGGGTGGCCCACCAAGGCAGGGTGGCCCACCAAGGCAGGGTGGCCCACCAAGGCAGGTTGGCCCGAAAAAGAAAAACTTTCACCATCATTCACTCCATCACTGTCTTGCCAGAAGGGTGCTTTACACTACAGTTTTTAAACTGCAACATTAACATTAATGTGCTAAAAATCTCTAGCCAAGACAGGACTCGCAGCAATGGCTTTAAGTTGGAAAAATTCAGATTCAGGAAGAATATAGGGAAGCACTGGCTTGGTAACAGAGTTGTGGATGACTGGAACAAACTCCCGAGTACCGTTATTGAGGCTGAAACGTTGTGTAGTTTTAAAAATAGGTTAGATAAATACATGAGTGGATGTGGGTGTGTGTGAGTTGGACCTGACTAGCTTGTGCTACCAGTTCAGACGCCGTGTGCCTTCCTTAAGTGAATGTGACCTGACCTGATTAGGTTGGGGCATAGGATTAAGCCGGTAGGAGACTTGGACCTGCCTCGCATGGGCCAGTAGGCCTGCTACAGTGTTCCTCTTTCTTATGTTCTTATGTAATCCGCTAACTAAAAAATTAGCTCCACTAACGCTAAACCGCTAAACGGTCAAAAAAAATTAGCGGAAGCTTACGCTAAACCCTAACCGCTAACTTTTTCACATGAATTCAGATTCGGTTTAGTTTCTCGGTCTCTTACTCTTACTTCTAAGACTTTTAGAATAGACCTGGAGACCTAATAATATATAGAATGTGAAAGTTATATGATGATCAAGTGCCACTAGGGTGAAGTGCCACTAGGGTGAAGTGCCACTAGGGTGAAGTGCCACTAGGGTAAAGTGCCACTAGGGTGAAGTGCCACTAGGGTAAAGTGCCACTAGTGTGAAGTGCCACTAGGGTGAAGTGCCACTAGGGTAAAAGTGCCACTAGGGTGAAGTGCCCCCTAGGGTTTAAGTGCCACTAGGGTGAAGTACCACTAGGGTGAAGTGCCACTAGGGTGAAGTGCCAACTAGGGGGAAGTGGGCCCCTAGGGTGAAAGTGCCACTAGGGTGAAGTGCCACTAGGGTGAAGTGCCACTAGGGTGAAGTGCCACTAGGGTGAAGTGCCACTAGGGTGAAGTACCACTAGGGTGAAGTGCCACTAGGGTGAAGTGCCACTAGGGTGAAGTGCCACTAGGGTGAAGTGCCACTAGGGTGAAGTGCCACTAGGGTGAAGTACCACTAGGGTGAAGTGCCACTAGGGTGAAGTACCACTAGGGTGAAGTGCCACTAGGGTGAAGTGCCACTGGGTGAAGTGCCACTAGGGTGAAGTACCACTAGGGTGGGAAATGCCACTAGGGTGAAGTGCCACTAGGGTGAAGTGCCACTGGGTGAAGTGCCACTAGGGTGAAGTGCCACTGGGGAATACCACTAGGGTGAAGTACCACTAGGGTGAAGTGCCACTAGGGTGAAGTACCACTAGGGTGAAGTACCACTAGGGTGAAGTGCCACTAGGGTGAAGTACCACTAGGGTGAAGTGCCACTAGGGTGAAGTACCACTAAGGTGAAGTGCCACTAGGGTGAAGTCCACTAGGGTGAAGTGCCATAGGGGGAAGTTACCACTAGGGTGAAGTACCACTAGGGTGAAGTACCACTAGGGTGAAGTGCCACTAGGGTGAAGTACCACTAGGGTGAAGTGCCACTAGGGTGAAGTACCACTAGGGTGAAGTGCCACTAGGGTGAAGTACCACTAGGGTGAAGTGCCACTAGGGTGAAGTACCACTAGGGGGAAGTGGGCCCCTAGGGTGAAGTGCCACTAGGTGAAGTTGCCACTAGGGTGAAGTACCACTAGGGTGAAGTGCCACTAGGGTGAAGTACCACTAGGGTGAAGTACCACTAGGGTGAAGTGCCACTAGGGTGAAGTGCCACTAGGGTGAAGTACACTAGGGGGAATGCCACTAGGGTGAAGTGCCCCTAGGGTGAAGTACCACTAGGTGAAGTACACTAGGGTGAAGTGCCACTAGGGTGAAGTACCACTAGGTGAAGTACCAC